GGTCGAGGGTTGATAACGAGTACGAAACAAAGAAAGTTCGTTGCTCTAAGACGAATGTGCGTTGCATCTAGTAGTAGGCCAGTGATAATGCGTGCGTTCGCATTAGGGTTAGAGGTCACTTCGGCAGGGTTGATAACAGTAGCAGGCAATAGAGTTCTTTGCTCTGAGACGAATATGCGTTGGGACGTAACATATATCATTGGAGGTTGTTACAAAACTTGTAGAGGATACAGTTCTCTACAAGATCAGTTAAATGCTTTTTTTGCAAGATTAACCGTTTTGGAGACATAGTCTCCGTACTATGGAAGCGCGCATCCTTTTATACAATATAGTATGCTATCTAAACTACGGCACCAGAGCATCGTCCACTTTATGAATTTAATTATATGATAAAAATGTTGTTATTATTGACAAATTTAACAAATTGTTTATTTATAATAGATACTCATAAATATTAGTTATATTATAATATAAATAACAAAATAATGCATTCATTTCCGGACCACCTTTGAAATATAACGTAAGGCGCGTTTTTTTTTTCTAGGCATGCTATTCCCGATAGACCTAGTTCATTGTAGTGATGTAATTGGGTATACAACCACCTGGTAAATGGTATCAGAAGCTATTCCGTTCATCTCTTTATATCGTCACCAGAAGGAATGCGTCTCAAAAATGTTTTATCTTCGTCGTCCTCTGCTTCTGGTCGCCCAAATTCAATTTCCAGCTCATTATCATGATCCTCGTTTTCCGTCACATTGGACTTTAAAAGCTCAAAGACCCCAGGAACAAATTCATTGTCTGTATCAAAATCATTGATGCCGCGCTGAAGCATGCTTGTCCGTGACAAACTAGGGAGGATTGAAACCCTTCTTTCCTACATCCACAATTCGCGTCACAACCTATTTTGCAATTGCAGAAGATTCGACTCAATAGTTTGTTGGGTACTGGTGGGAATAATGTCGCTGTCATCTTCAGGACCTCCTTTAAAACTCACCCCCAATTTTCAGATTTTACATCTTTCCCTAACTAAGTTTGGATCTGGAAGTAGGGTCGATAGATATGCTGACGAACTGTTGCACTTCTAGGTGGAAGAGATGGTAATTGCAAGTCTTGATTAATTGTGTGTACCCAAAATTGTTAATACAGTGTTCGGAATTTGGACCATTGCTAAAAAACATGTATTTCATTTTCAAATAATACATTTGGCGGTCAGTTGTTCAGTTGAAATATTCGAACTGATTGATAGAAATCGGAGTGTTTTTGAACATTTTCATAATTTGCAATTTTGCTTTGTTGAACAGTGCAGATGTTATCATATCCACTGAAGGCGTGCAAAAATAAAATATAGATAGGTATAATTCATTCCAAGCACTTCTGCCTTTTGAAACGTAATCTTCAAAATGTTTCTATTGTTACTTACGATGTTTCAAATATTTAATTCCATTAACATAGAATTTATAGTTATAATTTCACTGTACTTTTTAATTATAAACAATATTTGTTATAAATAAAGAATTTGTTCACATTTATGTATAATAATATTTTTATCATATAATTAACTGTATGTAAGACATCTGACTAATGCTCTTATTCTACAAATGGATGCACGCTCCCACTCTCCGCACTGTATCTCGAAAATGGTTAATCATGCAAAAACATGCATTGGAAGAAACTTGTAGAGAATTATCTGCTCTGTACAGCAATGTGTAAATACAACTGGCAAACACAAATCAAAGTTTTTTTATATTACATCCAGTAGTTTTTGAAACAAAATTGACGAATTGTAACCGCTTTAGGTATAGTTTCCCCAGATCTAATTCGGTCTTATGATAGTACCCCATTGTGTAAAAGTTAACCTCCTTAACAATAGATTACTACTGCCGGTGATGGGACATAAATAAGGATTTAACCATATCGTTACCCCTATATTGTATAATGGTTAAATCCTTATTTATAACTGACCCATCACCGGCAGGAATTATCTATTGCGACTGACGTAAGTTAACTTTTACACATCATAAACCCGAATTAAAATTGGGGAAACTGTAATAACCTAGTGACAGAACTTTTTCTGGGTGTGTTCGTGTAGAATTATTAACCTTTCATTCATGTTATTTGCTCCAACTTAATCCTGTAGTAATATAAACGCTTTAAGGTCACTTATTTTTAGTTCGTGTGTGAATGGGTTTTTCTCTCTGAATACTATTGTTTCCTTTCAATGTTTATCGTTATTTTGTATGCTTACATGATGGTGTCTTACCTTACAAATAATGAATTGTCAATCTTTTACGAACGAATTCACTCTAAAGAATCTTCTAGCGATTTGAACTTTTATATCACACGGTGTTTATGAATAATTTTTTGCAGATTATGCCATTATTACTAGTCTAACAAATGGAAATGTACAATGATACAAACTTAACTCATGAACGAAAATACAGAGACTATGAATGTGCTGTGGTTTAAGTTCTGACTGGGACAGCAGCCAATAGTGCTCTGCGCTTTCGTCATTTGGTATCACCGCTCCAAAAATAACACTAGTTGCTATTTTTGACTCCTTTATTAATTACGTACTGAATTAATGCAAGTTCAATTCCAGTTACTAACCGATAGCCAAGTCATTTTGACGGATATATAACTTCATATTTCCTTGTATTTCACAATTTGTAGAAAACAAACACGCAGTGTTCAATTAGTTGTATCCTGTCTATTTTTTGTCGGTTGTTTGTTTGTGGAAATTTGTTGAATATACAGGCTGTTTTTGAAACACATGCACAAACAAATTTCTGTGTAATAAGCCGAAGAGTTTGGAAAAATTTCCAGCCAATATTAAGATTAATGTGGGGATGATCGACTCACATCCAGACTTTTTCAACACCACTGATAAATGGCCAGCTGTAGCTATATTGGCTTTGGAAATATAGTGCATTTATGGCTTTGACTTTTTAAATATTTTATTTGTTCCTCACTTGAAAACCTCTAGCCGGTAAAATTTTTACACCTCGGCTTGTGCTCATACATTTTAAACTATTATAATTTGCGACTCAAAGCTGAGCCTGTGCTGATTGAGCAGCGGTGCGAGGTCGGGAGCGTCCAAGGCAACTACCAGGAACTGGTGGTCAGTTGACCAAGATTTTCTTTCAGTTTTTACTTCTTGAGTCCGTCGGCCGACTCTCTACTTTTCCGTTTGTCTGTCTGTCCGTCTGTCCGTCTATTCTGCCGTCCCGATTTTTATTAGACAGACTGGGCCGATTGTTGTCAAATTTTATATTTATATTAGGAATATCAGGTACATGGTAAAACGTTAAGCAAAATTTGTCTAAACATCCCCATACCTGGGTTTTAAATTGTATAAAATGACACAGTCCTACACATGCAGTTTCTGACTCCATGTTGAGTTTTTACCAGAAACGTCCACATTTTTGGAAAAAAATCAAAAATTAAACAACATTTTGCAATTTAATTTTAAATCTGCAAAAGTGAATGCTTTTAAATCTTGCAGATGTTTTATTGTTATATTAAGCATAATAAAATTTAATCAAAATATATTTGCTTATCCCTTCGAAAAAATTGATGACGTCAGCTCAAAATTTTGCCCAATTAATCCTGTCTAATGATGAGTCTATACTTGTGATTTATCCCTGCATTAATATTATTTAGATTTGCTAATACGAGGTGTTTCAAAAAAATGAATGACGTAGTCAATTTATTTTATTGATGAAATCAAGAATTGCAAAATTGAATACTTTGAATTCTTGCAGACGTTTTGAAGTTATTGTCACCTCAAAATATCGCTGAATAAATCTGGACTAACACAACTCCAACCCCCTTCCCCGACTTAGGATTGTGCTGGACAGAGCTTACGCAATCCTATCCCTTTTCTTATGTAGGATTGTGCTTGACAAGGCTTACGCAATCCTACCCCCTTCTCGCCAAATTATTACGCTTGGCAGGGCTTACATCATCCTCACTCCCAGCCTCGTCTGCATTTACGGTCACTGCCGTCTACGACGAGCAGAGCGCGCAGAGAGCCGCAATTCCATTCGGACCTGGAAGATTATTATCTATTTTGACGCGTATCCATATAAAATTAATTGCTTGCACCAGTGGCAAAATATGTTCTCTATTTCATAATCCGCATTACATTAAAAAAACTACTAGATCCACATTACATTAAAAAAAATACTAGAAATTTCAGTCAGTTGTGAAAACTGTAAAATTAAAATTGATACAAATTTAAAAAGATTTAAAATTGTCAAAAATAATAATGGCTCAAGTTCCGCTCTCGAGCGCTTCTCTCACATCAGTTCTTGTGAGTACCGCGACAGCTTTAAAATATTTTAGTAGGAAATGACCATTTGTTTAAATACATTTTGTTTATTTTACTAACTGCTTAATTTAAGGTAAATAAAATTATACGTATGGGAACTACTTAACTCAATATTTCTAGTAGTCTGATTCTGATTTAGCAACTGTTTCGCGTAATTGTCCATGTATTAATTTTATTATCCAACTGGATTTTCACTCAGTCAAGTACTTAGAGCCACCTATTTCTAGATATGTTATTCACCGTTCGCATTTACTGTTTATATTTTATCCGCTAATGGGTTATTGAACATACAATTTGTATTTTCATACTGACCGAAACTAATATTTTACTGTTTCTTTAAATCGTAGCCTTTTATTGTGCCAGTGGAGGCGAAAAAAGTAATTAAGACGAATCAGGTTGGTAGTGTCCAAGATTATTAGTCAAATAAAATTGTCGACAGACAAAAACTGAAATGTGAAACCGGTGTCTATGTTATAGTCAACAACCTGCAAGAAAAGATAAAATTAGAGAGTCAATTGCAATACTTTCCTTAGCCCGGGAAGTAAAAATGGTATTTTTTTAATTTTCTAGATGTTTATTTAAAAAATGTAATGCTATAATTATAAACTCTAATTCGAGTTTATATCTGACGTACGTATGAGGTTAATTGGGTTTTATTTTTTATTTTCAGACTGAATTATCTCATAATTTGCAACAATTGTCAGAGAGAGCCCGCTCGACAACTGAATTCATCCAGCGTCTTAAGGGGATGAGCGATAAAGTTAATGTAAGTAAATCTATGCGTTACTTTAATATTTAATCTCCAAAGCCCCGCGTTTGTTTTTATTAAATCTAGTTTCTTCCTGTTTTACATTTTATCGTGATGTGTTTTGTGAAACAGATTTACGCTGGCAGATTTAAAACAAATTTGCGCGAATCCAGCACACCATAGGTCAACATATTTTACGTTTTCATTGTTTTAACAAACAATTCTTAAAAAAAAAATTGTCAAGAACTAACTTCCAGTATAACAGTCTGATTATAACTATGTATTACATTAAAATTGGTCCAATATACAGGTGTCCCGAACATGGTTGCATCTTTAATGTTATCTAACAATCTTATCAAATTTTGACAATACAAAATTATCTGTTCTACAATTATTTTTCCATAGTGCCATAATTTCAGTCAGCCGGATTCCATATTATCGAAACATTACCGAGAGGTAGATCGTTTCCTATTTTTCCCTGGCTTAGTACAACACCGATTACGACGTTTGACACATCTATGGTCAAATTGAATGGTTTGTCAAAATTAGGGTATTGAAGGATGGGATCATTGCGCAATATGACATACATTTCCTGAAAGGTTTTGTTATTTTTGCAAAGTTTTTTTATAAATTGGCTATAATATTCCAGAAATTGTGAATTACTTTTAATCTTTTCATTTCATGGCTGAGCGTAAGCTAAGGAAGTGTAATAATCGAGTCCATCGGACGAATGGCCATTTTTATGTTTTCTCGAGGTTTCATGACCCTTACGCCACGAAAAAATTAGTCTTCCGTTTCCGTCTGTATATCTGATTTAGACACGTAATCTCCGAAATTACCGGACCTATTGTTGTCAAATTTTGTATGTATATTCAGCATATCCATGTAGATGGTTAAACGCTAACCCAAATTTGTCTTAATCATCCCCACCAACAATGTGATCGTGATGCCATTAAAATTTTTATCAATGTATTTTTTTTAATTTAATAAAATCATATGCTCCTACACTTGTAGCCTATGAATCCGCATTTACTTTTAATCACAATTACTTTACAAAACTGTTTCTGCAATATTCACGGCGTGTTGTATAAAGCCGATATCTCGCGCGTGTGCGAACAACTGCCTTGTAGCTGCGTGGGGTTGGAGCGCCACGAGGTGATATTTTCTGCTTTCCAAGCGTTGGAGTAAGGTCTGCAGTGCTGAGGTTTGAATCTCATTCTCATTAATATTATTAATTAATTTTTCCAAGAAGCGGGATCTGTTTCAGGAGCGAGGGAAGTTTTGTCGAAATAAACTTCGAACAAAGTTTACTTCTCGAGCGTGTGCTAACGAAGTATTGTAATCGATTCCAGCATTTTCGAAAATATATAAAATTTTATGTTGCGAATTTTTTATGAGAACCCCTATACGTTGAAATAAACACATGTCTGGAATGTTAAAGTAAATGTAAAGAACCGTGCTACGCGTATGTTTCAAATGAGTTTCGAATGTACACAATTTTGTGATGACGTCAAATCAATTATTTCAGTGGGTTATATTTATATATGTTATCTCGTAGCGCAAAGCTGGCTGTTTATTTGAAAATTTGACTCAGTATTTGTTTCAGTATCTTCATTATTAGTTAGCTGATGATCGAAATTGATTTTGTATGAAAGTTCATCATCTGGTTGATACTGAGGGTTTGTTTGATTAACATCATCAGCAAGACTATCATTATCACTATTTGTAGTGAAATAACATGCTCCTTGTTCTGTTTGTTGCTCATCATTTGCATTATAGGAACTATTTTCGTTCTCTCGGGAATTATTTTGAACAAAATAAAGTTCTATGGAAATGAAATTTTGTGGTCTTGATAATCTGGGATTTGACGATTGCTTAATAGTGGGGGTTCTAGAGTGATAGATATTGGTATTGGTTTTTCTATTGGAATTTGACGAGTTGGCCTATATGCATTTTTTGGTCTTGGAAATACTTGAGAATTTCTGAAAATTTCTATCTTGGCAGGTTTAGATTTGTAGTTACATTAATGTAATGGGTTACCTCGAAAATTATAGTTGATTTTTTTGGAAAACATGTGATTGTTGAATTTTATAGGGGTTATTAGAAGATTCTTGAACAGGATATGTATATTATTGTCTGGCGTAATTATTTAAAAATTGGGGACGATTATGAGATGCCAAAGAGAATCCGATGTCTTCGTTAACCATGACAAGCAACTACTTTGGAGTTTCTCGGTCTACAATTCTCAAAGTTTAAAACAGTTTAAATACAAACCTTATAAATTCACAAATCACCAACAACGACGTCCAGAAAATAAAATTAAAAGGACGGATTTTTGCGAAATACTTTTTAATTTAATAAATAATAATGAAAACATTTTACAAAACATCGTATTTACAGATGAAGCATCATTTTCACTAGATGGTAAAGTCAATATTGATTCTCTTATCCTTTCATATCCTTTTCCGTTCTTTCCAGATATTGGTCGAATACTAATCCCGTCTGCAAAATCTGGAAATAACCATAGGGTTAATCTGTGGATAGAAATTATAAACCAAACCTTAATTGGTACATTTGTTATTGACGGAAATTTGAATTCCTTTTTAAGACTGCTTCGTAACTTCATAGTGTCGTAAATTCAAAACTTAATTATTAATGATGTTTGGTTTCAAATGGATGGAGCTCTCCCACATTCAACTATAATAATAACTCATTGTTTACACGAAATTTTTTGAGCCAATGACTTTGCTTAATAATTCTTGTTTACTTGTGTCTATTACCTAGTTAATAAATTTCACAATAATTAATTTCTTCTTTACGTACATTCCCTTAAAGAAAAATTGACCAAAAAAATATCACGTACGAGTGCTTGCATGGTGATAGTACCAATTTAATATTTGTATTTTTTCTTCTATTTATATATTTTTCAAATTTCCAAATTATGTTTTGATAAGTTGACAAGTTTTAAATATATTTTTTTAATTATGACGTAGTTTGATGTAATATTGGTTGCATATCTCCAATACATGGATGTGGTTTTGTCAGGTTGAACATACTGTGAGGTTTTTTTTTTCTCTGAACCTAGGATAATTCATGTATGGTGGGTTGCATATTCATCCTCCAATGGATTGATTTGGACTTTTAAAAACTGAACATAAGATTCGTAATAATTCAGGAATAAGCGAGTAGACCCAAGTCAACGATGACATTTCCATTAAAATTTCTGACGAAATTGTTTAAAAAGGTCAATAACGTAAATTTTCTGTTCTTTAAACTTGTACTTATTACAATACCTTAAGGGTCCCCAGTCGTCGTCCGCAAAATCGGTTTCAGTGAGGAGAATTATTTTTTGTAACTATGCAACCCAAAGTACCAATCCACCGCAGGTACCGACCCAAAAACACGAGAGATAAAATGCAAATCGGTAAACAACACCAGATAAGCTTATTTATTTTCAAATGAAGGGTACAGGGAAATAACCATCGAAATCCATTTGTATGTATTTTGAAATAAATTGAGTTGAAAGTTTAAAATGCTGCGGAAAATAGATTGAGAAACCCACAAGGTTCAGTCTAACACAACTTTTTATTTTCTTCATAATGTTTTAAAAATATATAAAATAAACTGTTTATGTTCAAATATAACAGCAAAAAAAATTGGTGGAAAGTTGTTTCGACAGAACTTCCCTCGCATCTAAAATACAATGAAACATATCCAGCATTTTCGAGTTAAACTTTTACTTTAGGTACACAATTTTGTGATGAAATCATCAACATTGTGCAAGGACACGTAAATCAATGTGGATTAGATCAAAAATAACAGTTTTCCAAAAATTTCTGGGAAAATGGAGTGAGTTGTTCCTGATTTAATTAATAGAATAAATTTACTCATTCATTACTTTTTTTGAGCCACCTAGGTATATAAGCAAATCTAAAAAATATGAATGCAATGATAAATTACAAGTAAAAACTCATCATATTTTGCACATTTTTAGTACAATTTATTCGGCAAAATTTCGAGATGACGTTATCAATTTTTTAGTAGCATAATCCTGAACTTGTGGTTTATAAATACATTGAGATTTTTCGGCTTTTCGGTTTTTCGATTTTTCAACTTTTGATGTTTCAATTTTTCAGTATTTTAATTTTTGACATTTTCAATTTTTCCATTCTTCAAATTTTCGATTTCTCCATTTTTTTATTTTTCGATTTCTCAATGGTCCGATGTTTCAATGATACGATTTCGCAATTTTTCAACTTTTAGATATTTTAATTTTTCAATTTTTAAAATTCTAGATTTTTCGATTTCTCGAGTTTTCAGTTTTTCTATGCATATTTTAGTTTTTCAATTTTCGGAATTCATTAAATTTCTGATTTTCGATTTTTTTTTAATCTTTCGATTTTCCAGTTTTCGATGTTTCGATTTTTCAATTATACGATTGTTCAATTTCTCGATTTTTAAATTTTAGATTTTCCAATTTTTATTTTTTTTTTTTTTATTTTTTCATGTTTGAACTATTTATTATTTCTAAAAATAAAAGTAAAAAATAACTACCAAAATTGTGACTAAAAATATGTAAAAATTAATAGAAAGTAGAACACATTGCTGCTAAAACATAAAAATAACTGTACTTTCCCAAAAAAATCTATTGCATGATTACGGTTCCAGCATTGCTAATTTAGAATGTTAGTATCAAACGCAATGAAAGTATTAATTCTTAGTTAAACAAAAAAATAGTTGCGTGTCAAAATCGAGTGAAACATGTGAGATGTGTGTAAACAAAAGCATCTAAATAATAATTATTTCCCGCAGAATTTCTGGAGGCTTACAGAGTCGACATTGGCCTGAGCGCGCTCCGGTCTGTGGATCATATAGTGGGATTTATAAACTTGCTGTTGACGTTGAAGTTGCCGCTGCAGTTGTTATTCCCGCTGACGTTGCTGCTAGAGCTGAAAATTGTCATTTATAAACTCCGTTGGCAGTTGCCGTTCGCACAGGCCGCAGCTGTCAAATCCAAT